CTGCCGTCTGCATTCGCAGCGACTGGGCACCTAACAGCCCATTAGAATCCTTCTATCATTCAAAGATCGACTTTCTAATTAGCGATCAATCCAACCTCCACCACGTCCTGGCTGGTCTCGCCCGCCTACTGCATCAGCTCGGCTAGAAATCCTGGAAAGAAAAAGATGTTGAAGTTCTTTTGTTTCCTCGTCAAAACGCCGCTTTCACATTGGATGCGTCGTCTTTTTGTCATTTCCCTTATCGTGGTATCGTTATAATGCAAGTCTTTTTGACTCTTCTTTTGATTCGCCTCACAAATGCAGGTTTGCCCTAAAATGTCTTTGTTGAAAGACGCCCACTCCGTGCCTGGTATATCGCGAAAGAAATCTCCACACCCGTGGAACCAAAATGGTTTTTGGATAGAAATCATGAATAAAACAAAAGCCGGAAACCGACCGTCCTCCCTTCCGGTGGGAGATACATAGGTTTCGTTGAGAACCGTACGCCGCCTATAGTTGCTAAATCAAATGTACTGATTACACATCTGTTGAGATGTATGCATAGAGCTGTTGAATACTCTTTTTGTGGTTTGATACCATGTCACAAGACAGCTTAGAAGTTAAGAGCCTTGGGCTTCTCCCAGCTGAAGCTCTGGTTGGTACCGAAGTGACCGTTCTTGGCAGTCTGGAGGTAGATGGGCTGGTCCAGGTTGAGCTCACGAACAATGACACCAGGTCGGAGGTCGAAGTTCTTGCGGATGATTTCAACGAGCTCCTCGGAGGTCTTCTCGGAGGTGCCGTAGGAGTCGACGTAGATGGAAAGGGGCTCAGCGACACCGATGGCGTAAGAGAGCTGAACGAGAGCACGTCGGCAGAGGCCAGCGGCGACCAGGGACTTGGCGATCCATCGACCAACGTAGGCAGCGGATCGGTCAACCTTGGAGAAATCCTTACCGGAGAAGGCACCACCACCGTGGGCACCCCAACCACCGTAGGTGTCGACAATGATCTTTCGGCCGGTCAGACCGGCGTCACCCTGGGGACCACCAATGATGAAGAGACCAGAGGGCTGGATGTGGTAGATGGTCTCATCGCTAAGGTACTTGGCGGGGATGACCTTCTGGATGATCTTCTCCTTGATCTCCTTTCGGAGCTCCTCGGTGGTGATATCAGGAGAGTGCTGAGCAGAGACGACGACGGTGTGGACGCGCTGGGGGACGACAGCACCGTTGTCGTGCTTGTACTCGATGGTGACCTGGGTCTTGGTGTCGGGTCGGAGCCAGGGGAGGGTGCCATCACGGCGGGCCGCGCTCATGGCAGAGTTGAGCTTGTGGGCGAAGAGGAGAGTAAGGGGGAAAAGCTCAGGGGTCTCGTCGGTGGCATATCCGAACATGATACCCTGGTCACCAGCACCGAGCTGCTCAAGAGCCTTCTCGTAGTGGAGACCCTGGGCAATATCGGGGGACTGCTGCTCGATGGCAACGAGCAAGTTGCAGGTCTTGTAGTCAAAACCCTTGGCGGAGTCATCGTAACCGATGTCCTTGATAGCGTCACGGACAACCTTCTGGTAGTCGAGCTTGGCCTGGGTGGTGATCTCACCGAAGACCATGATCATACCAGTCTTGGTGGCAGTCTCGCAAGCAACCTTGGAGAGGGGGTCCTCGCGAAGGCAGGCATCGAGGATAGCGTCGGAAACTTGATCGGCGATCTTGTCGGGGTGACCTTCACCGACCGACTCACTGGTGAAGAGGAACGAGCCCTCGTTGTAATGCTTCCATGACGCAGGATCAGCGTGGACGCCGTTGGTACCGTTGGCAGCCATTGTGAAGATTGAGGTGAAAGGAGAAAGTGAGGGTAAAGGATACGGCTAAAGGTAGACAGACACGGGGAAGTCTGACTGTTGGGTGACGAGAGAAAAGGAGTCACTGAAGATGCGCTGTTAGATAAACTGGCAGTACAGAGCGATTGTGACGGCAGTCTTACCTCAGGAAAAGAGTTGATTAAGGACGGGAAAGATAAAAGAGGATGAAGAAGGGAAGAGCAAAAAGAAGAATTGAGCGGGAGCTGAAGTACCTTAAAGGAAAAGGCGGGAAGGAGGGGATGTGCGAATACGTTGATGCAGGCTTTGATATGAGCGAAGTGGGGGGTGGGAATTTTATTTGCGAGAGGTCGGAGAGAATAGGTTGAGAGTTTTTTTTTTCCTTCTCCCTACATTTTTTTTCTTACTGGATGTATACATTCATTTTTAGCCAATCTTATCCGATACTCGAAAAATGACTCGATCTTTCACTTACGCGACAGATATTTCTATGTACCTGTTGAACAATACCCAAAGCTACAGTAAGTTCTACTACAATGGTTTCTCATGTTGAGAACGGCCAAAAGGCGGGGAGCGACAAAAAAATACTGCCAGTGCTTTTTTTTTTCTGTTGACCGGCCGTCGGTCGAAGTAGTCTTGGATCTACAGGGCACCGAATCATAAGGGTATACTTTGCTTTAGTATGAGGGGTTAGCGCGAAGCTCAGGTACACATGTTATCGCTGGCCAGGCTTTCGGTGATTGATACCCTGGACGTTAGAGGGGTAAATGACACCTGGTTGGGAGAGAAAGACACCTCCTCCGGAAGCCGAAATTTGTAGCCGTATTGCGCCATCGCACCTGCCGCCATTCAACCACAGTAATTACAGAGGGCGGTGCAATCAGGGTAGGTACTCCTTACTCGTACTCGTCTCCCCCGCTTCCCGCCTGTCTATTGTCTGTTTAGTCTATCCCCTCTCCCATCGTCTGACTTTAGGACAATCCGGTCGAAGGAACAATGGGTCAAGAGTTGCCGAACCTATCAGCCTCAACCCTTGTTGAAATGATCCTTGACCAATTCCCTGACTGATTGACAAACACGTGCCATATCCGGAGAAGATGCCTAGTGTTGTGTGGGTGATGATACCTAACTTTACAGTCATCATGATAGCCCGAGTCTCGGCATGATATAGTAAAGTTGGTACATGGCGGGGCCGAAGGAGCTATACTAGTTGAGGCACAAAGAGATGTATCCATGAGAAATAACTTTTTTTTTTGGCTCCCGAGTAGGAGGGGCAAAAAAAACTAAGAGAAAAAAGAGAAGGGAAAAAAGAAGGCGAAAAAAAAAAAAGGACTAACAATATACCCGAACTTTTACCCCACCATTCCAGAACGTGCCAAAAATTGACAATGGAAGAGGCTCGTCATCATCACTACATCTATCTAGAAGAAGTATACATCTCTGCGATATCCAAGTCATATAGCCGGTTGAACCTTGGTTATCCGATCTTGCATACATACACACATCATTAACCCGTTACTGTCCTCTGTTGCCAGCCTGCACCTGTCCCTTCAAAGCGGGGCTGCTTAGAAACGCACTGCAGCTAGCTTCGACCCTGGAAGCTCCCAGCTTCTGTACTGCACTGTACCTAATCCATCGCATTTTGTCCCCTCCCCATGTCGATTTGACCTGCTTGGCCTGACGAAACAAAACACCAAATCGCATATATCACCACCTCTTCAAGATGAGCAAGTTCGGTGCTATGGTCATGGGCCCTGCAGGCGCGGGCAAGGTACGTGGACATTTCATTTTATTTTTGACTCAGAATGCCTACATTGTATTTCGCTTATTCCCCAGGGATACTTTACCGCCTATTCTTTTTCTTGCCAATATCACTACCATCATGTCGCCTCGAATCGCGTGCTTGGATCACAATATCCCCAACGTTTATTAAAGCGCCTCAACTGACCTCGTATTCGTGTCCCCTCTAGTCTACTTTTTGCGCCGCCCTCATCACCCATCTTAACCTTAACCGCCGTTCCGCCTTTTACATCAACCTCGATCCTGCCGCCGAGTCTTTCGAACATGAGCCCGACCTCGATATCAAGGAGCTCATCTCTCTCAAAGATGCTATGGAAGAGGTTGGCCTCGGGCCCAATGGCGGTCTCATCTATTGCTTCGAATTCCTCATGGAGAACCTTGACTGGTTGACGGAAGCTCTTGACGGTCTGACCGAAGATTATCTTATTATTATCGACATGCCTGGACAGATCGAGCTGTATACCCATGTTCCTATCCTACCAGCTCTGGTCAAGTACTTGTCTCAGCCTGGATCTCTCGATATTCGCATGGCCGCTGTTTACCTCCTCGAAGCCACATTTGTCGTTGATCGCGCAAAATTCTTCTCCGGAACTCTCAGTGCCATGAGTGCCATGCTTATGCTCGAGGTGCCGCACATCAACATTCTGTCCAAGATGGATCTCGTCAAGGGTCAAGTCAAGAAGAAGGACCTCAAGCGCTTCCTCACTCCCGATATAGGTTTACTCGACGATGATCCCATCGAGCGCACACGCCGTATCACAGAGGGTCCGGAAGCCGAAGACGACGAATCAAAAGCCCCCGACGAGAAGGGGCAGGTCATGAAGGGTGCCAGTTTCAGACGGCTGAACCGCGCCGTGGCTGGCTTGATTGAGAGTTTCAGCATGATCAACTACCACAAGTTGGATGTGACCAACGAGGACAGCGTTGCTGCTATCCTGAGCTACATTGACGACTGCATACAGTTCCATGAAGCTCAAGACCCCAAGGAGCCTCACGACGAGGAAACCGAAGAATTTGAGGGTTAGGGAGGTCATGTATGACGGGGAAAATTAAACATGTGTAAGAAAAGGAAATCTGTGTGGTATCTTGATAGTAGTATTGCATAGCGCCGGCGTTACTGGTTTCTTTCCATAATCTGAGACTTAAAAGAGCTTGTATAGATGTATGCTCTTGTCTCTCTCTGCCTTCCACCTCAAAATTGTCACCTTTTTCCACCTTTTTCGTCATAAGTATGACAGCAATTCTCTGTAGTAGATGTGTTGCTGTAATGGCCGATGCTGTTCGCTTTTCGTGTTTCTTTGTCGTATTCCATCTCTTGGGGTATCCAAACATTTTCGTATCGTGTGCTAGCCATATAATGGTCGCAGAATGACTGCATGCTGCACATTTTATTAAATGTAGTTTATCTGGATCGTCCAGAGGCAGGGCCTCTTGTTCCAGCCATGCCCTGCTGTGCTTCGTAGCGGTCGTACTCTTGCAGCCAAACGTCCTTGATGACGGCCAGATATCCCAAAATCCTGGCGCCTATGACGGTCATGTCCCTAGCGCTCTCAAAGACGCCGCGCTCCCAGATCCACGCCGCCAGGGCAAACATAAAGGCCCATGTCACAATGCGCATCGCCAGACGAGTCCACCACATGAGTAGACGACGGATCCAGTTGAGGATGATGACAACAGTGGCAAGCACGAGCAGCGACGCAATGACGCCGACAAGGCCTTGGTTCTCCGCAAGCAGAATCATGACGCGGTCGAGTATAGGTTCGATAATAGGTATAGCTGTGTCGATAACCTTTTGCACCTGGACAAGGACGTTGCGCGCGAGGACTTGGACTGGTGAGCGTGGGTGTAGGATGTGTTTCTGAACGGACTCTGCAAGTTCGGGGGGCAGAAGTGCCGTGATGAGGTGTGTCGCCATGTTCGGTGATTCAACGGAGGGCATTTTTTTCTGGGACTGATAGTTTGATGGGCGGTTGGTAATGTTAGGGTTGTAGGTTCAGGTTCTGGGTTGATGTTGTTGGTGGGGGAAATGTTTGTTTTCGTGGCTTTTCTGAGCTAACGTCCAGGGTAGTTCTGAGGACGAAGTTGCGGTCTAAGATGGGTAAGGTGAGATGGGAATGGAGCAAATTAAAATACCCCTTTTGTTTTTTTATTTTCTTTGAGCCTGTAATTTACTTGAAACTTCCGTTTTCATGCAGAATGCACCGATGAAAGGTATCGTGATATGTTTTGATGAATACGGTATTTGTTATTAAGCTTTCTTTGTTTGTCGATCAGCAATTCTGGAACCTTGTACTTGACGTGAGCCATCGGCCTTTTGCAACATTGTCATCCAGCAAACATAATGGATTTTAATATGTACTGTGACGTGAATGGCTGAAAAACAACAGCCCTTCTTCACTTCCCCTTCTTTGAATCAACACAACGATGGCTTCTATTTGTATCCGTCTTTGTTAGGTATTTCAACTCTATCACATGCAAAACATTCAATCTAAGCGAAAGATTGATGCACGGACCATCAGTTAACAATAGCATTTGAGCTGATCGATTAACAAAGGAGTAAGTAAAGTAAAATGTTGTATGTTAAATGTAGTAGGCATAACAATGAATATGCAAGCCCCCTCTGGGTAAAATATTTACAAGAAAAGAAAGAAATCGCTAGACTTGACGGGTATCGAACATAAACCTGGTCTGATCCAAGACAGGTCTTAACGCCACCTAGGTACTCTAAACCAGAGCATCATCATCATCTGTGATATGTAATATCCCTCCGTGCAAAGCGCCAAATACGTTGTAATAGAAATGCCACATCTTTTGAAACACCAACCAAGTATAACCGTCAAAGAAGTCGTCTTCACTCATCAAGACCTTCGAGTACGCGTCGCGCAGCATCGATCCTCCTGCGATACATGCGTGCCTCTGATCCGGCCCTCGATGATTCTGTCAGCCCGAGCACGCACTTGCCGAGACTGGCAACAAGCCTCTCTACCAGTATTTGACTTTCCTTGTCAATTCCTTGCATAGGAGACGCATTGCCGTCTATGTGTCCAGTCTCGATGCCGCCCAAGGTCGCTGCTTCGTTCAAGAGACTTGCAGAGATCTGCTTGAGCTCCGAGTCAGGGGATCCTCCAGGAGTGCTACTGTTGGGGGTCAGAATCCCATTGGCCGTCTTGGATTTGTCCACAAGGGGAAAGCTTCGGTTGGTTCCTGTGGATCCGAACGACGGCATAGAAGGGCGATGGCGTGCGTAACTAGCTGCACTGCTGGCAGGGCGATGAACTATCGTGCCACGTCGGGGCTGTTGCTGTTGCTGCTGGATATCGACGGAACCGTTCCTTGAAGCAGCTCTGCTCTGAGGGAACTTAAACCCTCCAAACGATGCTCGCTTCGCACTTGAAGGTCCTCTCATACCCCCTTGAAGGTCCACAGCAGTCTCAATTACATGATCGAAGTTCGAGGTACGGCTTGAGCGACCCTCGGTAGCTGTGGTAAAAGAATTAAAGGATGCCATGGACTCAACACTTGGCCTCCGTTCGTGGTCGGAATCAGAGTCAGTGCCAGGAGCCGGAGTGACAACGGGCCCACGAGTTGTCTCAACAGAATCGTCCGAACTCACACTGCTCCAGCTTCCGCGTCTACGCTGACTCATTGACCCCATTGCTGAATGGAGGAAGAAGTGCTCGTAGTCGAATGCGTCTTCACGGTCCTCGTGAGACACAGGGTTTTGGATCGCATCGTGGTAAGACGACTCGCCACTTTCGCTCTCAAAATCCACAAACTCATCGTCGTCGTCCTCCATGTTGTCATCATATCCACCTGTTTGTTGGTTGTATTGAAGTTCTTCTTTTACTTCCTCATCCTCCACTTCCAAATCTCCTTCCCATGTTTCGCCGTCATCAATCATGTCGTCGTTTTCCTGCGCTTGAGAGTCGTTTTGAGGATTGAGTGCTCTGTCCAATAGAGTAGACACCTTCGCCTCCTCAGTCAATGGTTCATCTGGTAGCTCAAGAGTGTCATGAGCGTCTTCGTACTCGATATCTGCTGTCTTGGCTCGTTCCAGCTCCGAAGCTTCCTTTGGATCCAACTTGGGTGAGGTTTGATCATCGACTTTCTCATCAGAATTGTCCGGATTCCACGGTGCTTGCCAGGTAAGCGCATCAGGCGTGCTTTCTTGCGATTTCCCAGACTCTGGTAATGCTTGGTCCCATCTTGCGTGTGTAAACGGACTGGGTGTCCTGAGGCTCTGCAAACTACGTCGCTTCATACTATCGGCCCGGGCCTGTTCCTTGAGACTGGAAATCTTCCCTCTCAAATCTTTCATCTGGTGCTTTAGGTCACGTACTTGAGCAACCGACGGGGACCTGGGTATATCCGTGTCTGTCATGGAGCCAAAAGCTGGGCTGAGCTGGCTATAGAGGCGGGAGCTGCGTCGACTATTCCCGGGCGTGCCACCGTCGTTCTCGCTCAAGGCTTCCATCATAGGATCAAGGGCACTTACAGGGCTCCTCTGAGATGAAGCGCCGTAGCCGATTCCTAAAGCATCTGCACTTCTTGAAGAAGTCAATGGTTGACGGTAGCCTCCTGCAGACCCCAGGGCACTGGCAGATCGCTGCAGAAAAGTTGGACTCGCAATCCCGTTATAAAACTTATTTTCGCTTGTATTCCTAGAGTGGCCTTGTCCTGAGCCCAAGCCTGCACTAGAATCCCGTAAGGATGTTGCAGGCCGCGCGATTGGGGGAGAAGGCGTCGATCCATCGGACGTTGGAGAATACAAAGAACCTTTTGCTCTGTAGAGATTTCCTTCCATTGCCTGTAGACTTGTCAGTGGCGTCTACCGGGTCCCAGAATAGCAACATACCGTTAATCTTTGCTTAGCATTGGCCAGAATCTGCTCGGCCCTATCACTCAGAGAACTGGTCGAACAGCGTTGGTTTGAGATATCTTCGATACGAGGCACGCGCACAGCCTTGGGTTCTCGCGCAGCGGTTCCCTCAACATAGGACGATGCCATACTCTCTTCATCATCACCCTGGAAGTCAACATCGTCGACACTAACAGCATCGTCAAAGTCACCAAACTGCGCACCACGACCGTGCGACGTTATGGTGCTGTTAGAGTCGAGTGAAGATTTTCTCTCGCGCTGCTGTATTTGCGACCTTGGCTTGATGCGCGATGCGCCCGCAATCTGCGAAGAGCCCAATACGTGATCGTCGTTACTGTAGACAGATAACTGCGCCGACCCGCGCCGTCCCCCTTTCCCCACAACGCTCTCTACTTCCGTCACCTCGCCAATGTCGGACAGCATAGTTCCGTTTCCATATATGATAGGGGTTGGATGAGAAATAGGCCCGGCGATGAATTGGTTTTGCGGATGAAACCGCATGTCGGTGGTTTGAGAATTGTCCCACATCGGCATGTGTGGTTGTGACAGCTGGTCGAAAGAGGCATCGAAATCATAATCGGGCAAGATCATATCGGGATTTGTGAGAGTAGGTGACCCAGGGATTGGCCCATAGTTGGATGAAGAGCCGGAGCCTGACTTGCCATGGCGGACATCGCGACTGTAATTAGGAATGGTTTGCGCCGCCATGATTCTTGTAGTGGACGCGGTCGAATACAGGGAGAGAATCGATTGTCTGAAATGGCGAGTGTTCAGTCGAACTATGTCTTGCCTCGTTTCGTTTCGTTTCGTCTCGTCTTGTAGCGCGCCCTAAGCGACTGGCGGGTTTTTGGGACACAGGGCCTTGACAAGCCCCGAAGTAACGTTCGATCCCAATTCGGCTGCGCACGCGAGCTGGCTTGCAGGAGGCTGATTATGATTTCTTGTTTTCGAGGGAATGCGACACGATGGTGATTCGACGGTTGTAGCGATGGTGAGAGTCTGCCAGTCGAAAAGCAGTAGGTATGCAGGTAGCGTGGCGCGAGAGAAATTAGAGCGGCAGTTGACAACCGGGAAAGGAAGTTGATCAGACAAAGGAAGGAAGGTAGTCGAGTAAGGAGCGAATGAATAGACGAGGGGTGAATTAAGAAGGCTAGTAGAGTATAGAAAACAAAGGGAAAGATCTATTCGCAAAAGGCGTACTAAGTTAGCCAAAGACAAGGATCCAATTACATAGGCATGTCCAATCCAAAAGAACGGCCGTGAAAACGAGTGAGGGAGGGAGAGCATCCAAAGTAGAAAAGTAATTGAACTGAACCTATGGATGGAAAGAATGATGGTGATGGACGTTGGGGTTCCCTTATTGGAATGGATCGCAGCTTGGTACGTACCCTTTTAATTGAGCTCGGCCTTGACACTCAGACCTCTATGCAGCTTCTCCACAGATCTTAAATAACAACAGCATAGAATGGAGTCTGCAGTATGTGGGTAGTAGGCAGGCAGGTGGTGTTATATAACGATTGTTAAGACGTTGAAGAAAACCGTTAGACACAAGCATAATCACCCATTTTTAGGTTTTGAGTCAACCTCTCAAAAATAGTTTACCAGCAACGTCTTGGAATGCAATGACTTAGGTGGACTTTTTCAATCTTTTGGCGTTGGCGCCGCCCGGCGGCCAGCTTTTTAGAGTCTCCTCTCACTAAAAGGACTAACTAGAACTTGACTGGACTGGCGTCTGGCCCGGGTCGTTGCGCAAAACGGGAAGTATGGGGACTTATGCCTTGTTTTGCTGTATCCGTAGACTTGGGGTACTTTGTTTTTTCTTCAGGGTGTCGTCCTGAGTCTTTTGATTGGTGGCTAGCCAGTCAATGATTGAAACAATGGTGTATGGCGCCGCGCATGATGAAAACGACCATGTCTGGTTCACCAAGTTCTAGAGAAACAAGTCGTGCAAAGATCTGCAGTGTATCCATAAGAACCTGTCGTACGCTTCTACCTCGGTATGGATACTGCACCTATCCGTGCTCTGTACTAGCTCAGGTGTCGTTGTGTTGCGTAAGACTTGCTGTCATTCATGACTCTCCTGAAGGAAAGGGACAAGACATGCAATAGTGCATGATAATATTATCCATCCTTAATAACAAAGCGCAGTCACTCTCTAATTGGGTTGCATTCTCCGGTACTTTGGATAAACTAAGCTGATCGAAAACTACAATGTTGCACCAGGCAATTTCCTTTAATATAGACCGGGATTACCATGTATGTATCCGTAGTACGGACCAAGAACTAGCCCAAGGACTGGACGCGATAACTATGTAAGAGAAAGGGGCGCCAATCCAATCACCGCGTGGCCAGGATATCCTCGTTTTAGGAAAACTTCTAGAACACGTTAAGAACAGCTTAATCAAACTTCCAAGTTGAAAACACTCAATTATTCCAGGTTGAATGATAGCATAGTCCTTTCGAAACCGATTGAAATGATCACCAAGACCTACTTGCAATGCGAAAAAAGCAATTCCGATCGTCGTGGCTTTAAAATAGATGTTGGCCAGTCATGCGTAATAAAGTAGCACAGCTATCATATCTCAGCAAGTATCCGATCTCATTGTCAATAGGCCCGCCATACTTAGTTTGTGTTTCAATAAAGACGCCTCGAAATCCTGCGAGAAAAGAAAAGAAAGTATGGGCTGGCTGGGCTACGCACAAAGTACTTGGTAGAACAGAACAGCTGAGACAAGACAAGACTCAGCTTCTCAGCTCATCCATTATTTTACAAGTTTATGATGCAAGCCAGAATACGGGTTGGCTCGTCACATCTCACAAGATCTCAAGGTGAAACAGCCTTTCCCAGTCATCCCATCATCCCATTTTTTGATATATCCCATCTATAGCAACTCCTTAACAAAATGCATTTTCCTTGTTTTCGCAAAACATGTATCCCTGTGAGTTTTTCTTTCCGTAATCTAGTTCAAAGCAATCATAACCCTCCTTTCAAAATATTTTTCTTTTTCCCCTTCACACCTGAAAAAAAAGCATTCAGTTTAGTCATCGGCAAAAGCCTCAGCTCGGGCCTCGACGTTCTTCTGCGACTCATCCTTGGAGGGTCGGTTGGCAATGAGGCGCTGATTGGTTAGTATCACATGGCATGTCGTATGGTGGACGAGTGGCACTTACAACCAGGTTTCTCAACAGGATAGCAATGGTAACCTTGCCGACTGATGGCACGTAGATAGAGGCCTTTTCCTTGATGGCAGGACCGTCAAAGTTTCTGTAGGACGAAAAGTTGATGCAGACGGCACCCTCACGGATGAGTTCGGTGGGGACCTTGAAAGACTCGACGGGTACACCTCCAATGACAACATCACTGAGGGGAAGACAGTCCTCGAGCTTCCAGCCCTCCTTGTCTTGGACAAGGTGGCGAGCCTTCTTGATACCCTCTCCACGGGTGAAGACCTGGACGCCGGTGATATCCACGGAGTAGACGGTGGCACCATCGTTAGCGAGGAGAGCGGCGAGAGGTCGACCGTTGACCTCGGATCGGTTGATGACGGTGATGGTCTTGCCGTAGAGTCGGTTGCCGGAAGCCAGGATGGGGTTGTAGATCTGCAGGTACTCGAGGATCTTGACAACTGCGAGAGGAGTGCAAGGGAGGATGGACTTCTTGCGGTTCTCGGGAGGGTCAATGAAGCGGATGTTGTGGTACATGTTGTGGATGTGCTGGTGTCGAAGACCCTCAACGTCCTTGCCGAGATCGACAGACTCCTGGATGTACTTGTCGTGAGAAGGGTTGTTGGGGAAGATGGGATAGTAGACGATCATGCCGTCGACGTCCTCATCCTCATTGGCCTTCATGATCTCCTCCTCGAGGAGCTCCTTGTCCACAGTTCGAAGGTCAAAGTTGAAGCCGCTATGGTATACATTAGCGCCAGGTCAGAGGGTAGCCATCACCCGATAGACAGGGCGATATTCAAGCTACACAGAGGAATATCTCACTTCTCTTCACATGTCTTCTTGGACCACTCAGCGTACTTGACAGCAGCGGGATCACCGTTGGCGAGGAAAGCAGCCAAGGTAGGTATGCACGGGTTCTCGCCTTGGATCTTGGCCAGTGTGTCCTTGACCTCACCAAGGAAGCCCTTGGCGATGGTCTCAGCAGTGATGACCTTGCAGGTCTTGGGGACGGTTGAGGAAGCCATTGCAAATGTTCTCAAGTTTAGACTCAGACTGCGAAAGCAGGGGTTGATCTGAAATCTCATAGTCAGTCACATGTGTTTCTTGACAAATTGATTAATTTGATGAATATCTCTGTCTCTGTCTCTTTTACTTTCTCATGAGTTTAATAAGGTGAAGACACACCGAGAGTAACCCCACATAATTTTGGCTATGAGCCGTACTACCAGCATTTTTTGGAGTGACGAGGGGGATACGATGCCGTCAGAGCAAAGGCTGGGGGGCCACGTGATGACGAGACTAAAGCATATTGGAGAGAAGAGACTCACCTTTGGAGAAACCGGGGTCGATTTGGTTTGTTTTGATTCAACTTTGACCAAAAACTGGAGGTTTGAGGAGAAAGAAGAACAACAATCGCAAGTTTAAATGTATCCCCCACCAAAGAAAACAAAACTCTTGAAGAACTGCCCCTCCACGGGCCCGAGTCATTAAGAAAAAAATTGTTTGCGCAAAAAAATCGGAAAAAACCAGAGCCTAACCCTTCTATCCTCCAGTCAGAGAAGAGAGTTTTAAGTGCCCCTCTTACCGTATATAGTTTAGCATCATGATCGTCCTTGACTTTCTGTGAGTCCCTCAAAGTGATTGCTCCATGGGGAATCATGGCTTTATCTAAGATTGAGTTGTAATGAAGACATGAGCTTCATGATGAAGAATGTTTATAATCATGGAAATAAGAGAGTTAGAAGGCGCAAGATCCAAAGTGCTAAGCCTCACTAAAACTTCAGCAGGATTGCATGAGTTTAGCATTCGTTCCCTCTTTCTAGCCTTATTCCTTTTGCCGATTTCGGCGCGTGGATTAAACGCTCAGTTCCACTCTTCCACTGACGCCATTGCTCTACAACGAAAAACAACCTCTGACGGTTTTATATGCTTCCAGAAAAGAAGATGATCCAGTAACAAGGGGAAATTCTCCAAGAAACCATATTGGTTGAGGCACGTCCAAGCGGGCGACGACTCGGGACTCTTCCAGGACCAGATCCTTGAAGATGGTAAACTCAAATACAGCTTCTCAGCGCCTTAGTGGTTGCTCGACCACGCCCAGTGCTAAGTGGCTATATGGCTTTCGCTAGTCATCAGCTTGTTCAAGATCTGGACGATTCCAATTTCTTTTTATTGCTGCGCTGAACATTCCATACGTGCAGCCCGAGCAATATGATCAACAGGCGGCGGCGCGTGAGTTGCTCACTGAGGCACAATCCCGATTGATTGGTCTTCCGTCATGTCGCTGATGATGGAAGTTATGCCAAATGACAGCATAGTATGCAATACATACATATTATACCATCTTCTTACCATTGGAACGTTTTCGGGTGTCCCAACAGCTTTATACAAAGGAGAGAGACCAGGGTTGAGGGTCCAATACGAAGAGCATCGCACGCTTGGCTTGGTACCCCCATGATTGACACGACACCACCATCCCTTTACGCCCGCGACGAGATAGGATAATTCCCTAGCGCATTGCCGTATCTGGTCCAACCCTTGGCTTCTCTTCTCGAAGATGCCAACGTTCGAAACGTTGCTTATCTCCGTTGTTCCTGTCCTTTATCGCTGAAGCTATAGCCTGCTGTGTGGTATATATATGACCTTACCCCGCCACACCGTTACTCCGCGGAGATTCACATTTCAGTTCTCCAAATACCACCAAGGTCTTATCTCCCACCCTTCTAAGTCCCATCCAGGCCCCTGGAACAAGCCTCTCTGTAGCGGCTAGGGGATCGCAATAGCCGTGTTCCTTATCGCGGCTCTTGTTGATCGCCCTTGCTGCAGCCGTTACGCCAAGGCACCCTGGCATATGGCCAATTACATGTTGGACATTTGAACACAGACGATCAGCTTATCAGACGACAACGACGTGAGCACCTTGGCTTGCAGCTTAAGGTTCCGGTTCGGTTAAGTAGTTTCGGTACATGACCGTCTGGACTAGCACTCCGTGATGCTGCAGCTCTTATCTCGCCATGTCTAGCAAGGAAGCGTCCCGTCATTCAACTCGCATACTTGCATTGTTTGAGACATGGGCTGGAAATAAAAGGCACATGTTGATGAATACTATTCGCCCAATCGTTATCTCTATCGGTTAATCCAATTTGGTTATCTGGTTGCTCGCCCTCGCTTGAGTGATTGCGCCTTGACGCCCAAAAAACCATTTGGGACTTGCTTGTCAGGGGCTCATAGCATGATAACTAGGACTTGAGAAGGACTCGCCAACTTTGTCAAAACATCTTTGGATGTGTATCGTATTCAAAGCCCACCACAGTTGATTATTCACTGTTTAGGAGACTACAAGACTATCAACTATCGACCACTGAGGCTCTGCAACACCGCACTACAACGGGCCGCTCTTAGCCTACATCATATCAGCCCAGTTCTTATCGGATTGACGAGGAATTCTGTGCAGGCTTCAGTGAATTGTGCATCTCCGGGCCTCCGAGTATCGCTGCACTGTTCGCTCGCTACTATCTCAAAGACAGCACAGCCAAGCTGTCGTCTTCTTATCGATTCAGTATCCCAAAGATAGTTCTAGGAAACCGGAGATACAATTTTTGATGGTTCTTTTTTCATAACTTGGCCTACAAAGTATACAACACAGTCGTGCTATATATGTCCTAAGCATCATCCCGTTCGAAAGACTATTCAAGCTCAACATCAACAAGCAACTCAGGGATAATCAAGACCCTTCCAATCCTCACAAATCATTTTCACTGTCTTCAGAAGTTACGAATTATCTGGCTTGAGGTTCTCCAAATTCATCAGCCCACTTGTTCAAGATGGGATTTCAAATCTCCCACCTGTGGAAGGCCCCTGAGGTCAATCCCATCAGTAGAAAAGCACGAAGTGTACCAATGCTCAACCCTGTCAACATGTACGGCCGAGTGTTCTCCTTCTCATGGCTTGGATTTATGCTCGCTTTCTGGGCTTGGTAAGTTGAAAAATTCTAAGTATTGCTGTTATGGTGTATTGACAGGGTACCAGGTACACCTTTCCCCCTCTATTGACGGTCACTATCAAAGAAGATCTCCATCTTACACCGGCTCAAATCGCAAACTCCAATATTGTTTCTCTATCTGCTACATTCTTCCTTCGATTTTTGACCGGTCCTTTATGCGACTTGTACGGCCCTCGACGCGTCTTCGCTTACTTGATTCTCCTGGGCTGTCTTCCCATCGGTCTCGCACCACTTGTCAACAGTGCAACCGGTTTATATGTCTCTCGATTCTTCATTGGTATTCTTGGTGCAACATTTGTGCCTTGCCAGGTATGGTGTACTGGGTTCTTTGACAAGAACGTAGTTGGTACTGCCAACGCTCTCGCTGGAGGATGGGGAAACGCTGGTGGTGGAATGTAAGTGCTCCTCACCCACGAAACTTCTACAAAGAAATGACTTATATGAATATGTGCTAACTTTTTGAAAGAACTTACTTCATTATGCCTGCTGTCTTTGACTCCCTGGTTGCCAACCACGGCCTTACTCCCTCAAAGGCCTGGAGAGTCACCTTCATTGTTCCCTTGGTTTGCTTGATCGTCTGTGGTCTCGGCATGCTGCTTCTCTGTGAAGACAGCCCTATGGGATCTTGGGATAACCAAGATGAGCTTGTCCGAAAGAACATGGAAGCGCATGGAATCTCTAGCTCTGGTGATGTCACCCCTATTGGCACACACACACCCGACCGTGCAGGTTCAGACGAAGAGAAGAGCCCCGGCGAGGAGAGAGATGTCAAGGTTGGCGATCACGAGCACTCCATCTCACGCTCAGAGGCTATGGAAATTGCTCGGGGCGAGATTGTGGTCAAGCCAAGTCTTCGCGAAGCGCTTCCTGTCACATACTCCCCTCAAACCATCTTTCACATCGCTACCTATGCGTGCTCATTCGGTGGCGAGCTTGCTATCAACGCCATCCTCAGCTCATACTTCAAGAAGAACTTTCCCCATCTCGATCAGACAAAGGCTAGTAACTACGCTGCAATTTTTGGCTTCCTCAACTTCCTGAACCGACCTTTGGGTGGTGTCATCGCCGACATCTTGTACAACAACTTTGGACGCAGCCTCTGGCTCAAGAAAATTTGGATCCTCACTTGCGGATTCCTCACAGGTGCTCTTCTTATCGTTATTGGCAAGGTCAACCCCTCTGAAGCTAACGGGGGAAACATCGGTACCATGGTTGGTCTCGTGGTAGTCATGGCCATCTTCATCGAGGCTGGTAACGGTGCGAACTTTGCTCTCGTGCCTCACGTTCACCCTTCTGCCAACGGTATTCTATCAGGATTGACTGGAGGTGGCGGCAACATTGGTGGTGTCATCTTTGCTATTGTCTTCCGCTTCATGCACGGTGGCAATGACTATGCTATGGGCTTCTGGGTTATTGGAATCATCACTATCGCGCTGAACCTGGCGGTTTGCTGGATTCCTCCATTGCCAAAGGGCCAGATTGGAGGCCACTAAATGCATTGGAGTGTGACAAGAATATAAAGAAATAGATGGATAGAATACTGATGTTTTACGAAATTATTATGGGTTCAAATGCTGGACAGGCGCGAAATGGTTCAATGGAGCGGTCAAGTTATGGCAATGATTAATAGGGTAGTTCATCGCGTCAAAGGACGATGCGAATATTTCTTTTTCATGAATACTATTGGGTAACGTTCAAAAATAACTTCAAAGTCTATCGTATTACGTTTTAGCAAGACTGTCTACAGGGTGATTAAGTGACACAATAAGTAATCCGCAAGTCTTCTCGACATCCGACAGAAAGAAGCTACTCAAGGCAAGACAATTCTCGTACCAAGCTTTTGACGATCTATAATGATTTGCCCTTAGTTCTTTACCATGCATTAGTCTTAATCGCCAACCACCGTCGATGACATACTTTGCGTTCTTATACCAAGACCAAATGACGTTGATACTGAGACGTCTAAGTTCGAACTTGTCCCTGTCGATCAAAAACGCCACAAAAGCGCCGCGTGCGTTTGAC